AAGAGCTTATCCGTTCCTATAACAACTCCATCGGCTTATTCCATCGTTGGATCCAGAACTACACAGAGCCTGATTCCTGTAAAACCAGGGATATGTAGGCAACTCAGAAATCGGAGTTCGGCCTCTATTGTTTCAAATCACCCCATTCGGTCAAAATCAGTCATCATTTCTTTACCCGACAACTCTTTCATCATTCCCGGGTAAAGAGGGGCAATTGTTGATACCCAATTTTTCCTCATATTTTTTAAAATATATATAGTTTCAAAAATAGTATATTTGCATCATCATTTAGTTTATAAACTTATACAAGCATTTTTTTCATAATGTTTCATAATTTTTAAAAGCTTTAAATTAATTTCTTTTTGCATTTTATTGTATAAATATCCAATAATTATCCTTAAAATTATTTTTATGATGATTTAATCATCAAACCTTATTGTTTACACCAACATATATGTTTTATGACATTTTACTCCTTTTGTTTTAATAATTACATTTGCATTTTTAAGCTACTTGCATATTTTGGAAATAATAGCCTATATTTATGTATAATTACATTATTTGGATTTTTATATTTTTATAATGCCAAGTTATTATTTTTAATCATTTTAGTGCACAAATAATATTTTTGTTATTTATTAATTACTTTTATAAATTATCTTTTGATAAATATTGGGTATTTAAAAATTAGCCCCAATTTCTAAACAATTTCGGATCAAATAAATGGCCAAAAAACCCCAATACCCTACCCAATAACCCCATCCCAAACCAACAACCCCTTAACCGAAAAACCTGGTCGATACCCGTTAATTGACCCGCCCCACTTACATTTTTAATCCTGGCCGTCGATCTCTCAAGATCAACGACTCTTGTTATTTCTCTCCCTTTTAATTACCCTCCCAGAAACCCTAACCCATAATCCCATAACCCGCCGCCCTCATATTCTCTCAACCTCCCCTCCCTCTATGAAGAACCCTAAACCTGTCGCCCTTAAAATCTTCTCCTAATCCCACTGAATATGGGATTTGATTATCACTTCTTGCCATATTCGACCCCGTTTTGGTACTGGATGTTTTCCTATAGCTCTTGCCTAAACATGGCAAGCATATCTCTTCAAAATCGAACCAAAATTGGTTCAAACCCCTGATTTTGAGTATTATTTTGTCTATATTTGTCCTATGCTACTGTGAGTCCGATTATTTGTTTATATTCTATTGATTTTCACTTTCCTTAAAAACTAGGGTTTACAGATCCCTTAAATTGATTTTTGGACTGATTAGCATGTTTATTTACCTTATTTGTTTCTTAAATCACTATGTCTCCCTTGTTTGATGTTCGATTTTACTACTATATAAACCCCTCCCCCATTCCCTTCTAAAAAGGACTTCAATTACTAAAATCACTACTAAAAAAATTGAGCTTTACTATGTGATCATTAATTCTCTTATTTTTGGCTCTTGGCCGTCTGAAAGCCAAGGCCACCGGATTTCCTACTTTTCCGACCTTTCTTGGGAGTGAGCACTGCCCTAGGTTCTTTGAAACCCTTGGGAACTTGACGCATCTGGGATTCTGGGTCATATTGTTGTTCTTTTCTTGTTTGTTAAGCAATAACTGGTTAGTTTCTCAAACTTCGCAATGTTTATTCCATTATGTTCTAATTAGCATATCTATGTTTTCTGAAATTGCATGACTTGAAATAATCCTTTGACACTCTTTATGTATGATTCTACCTATAGCATGAACTTCTATAGCATTGTCTCATGCCTAAATTGTTGGTTCTAAAAATGTCTTTGTATCTAACTTAGGCAATTTGGACAGTTTGAAGCATGTTTAGCTTAATGTGTTGACAATCTAAGTGTTTGCATTGGATGTGTGACCTAATCCTGTTTCCTGCCTGATTCTGAATTTCTTAGTGATTAATTTATGTTATTAGTATGCCTTAATCTCTTAAAGCTTTCACTCTAGTTGTAATTTGCTCCTATAACTATGTTTGCCACTCAGTATTTTCTCACTCTGCTCAATTCTGTACCCCTAGCAATTAAGTGGAACCTCTCAGACTAGTTTTGCCTAAATTATGATTCTGCTTGCCTCATTATTATAAGTTGTACTGTTTAAGCCCTAGTGTTTAGCATAACTTGATCCTTACAAATATACCCTGCCCTAATGTGTTGTGTGATAACTTGCAGCATCAACTAGTTCCTTGAACTCATGCACCCTCTGTGTTGATATGTCCATTATGTGATCACTTTGTAGTATTTGACTCCAAAAAATGTAAATGCACTTTTCTAAACCTTGTCACTTTGCTACTATTTTCATTGGTTGTTTCCCTGTTCCGAGTCTCTAATTCTTGGCTGGCTGAAAGCCAAGGCCTCCTAAAACCTCTCTATTAACCCCCCTTGTGTGAGCACTTTGAGACCCTTGTGAACTCTGACACACTAGGGCCTAAGGTTCTTGGCCACTTTCTTCTTGACTGCTCAATTATGTCCCTCTCTATGCCTACTGAATAAGCTAATTGGCTTGTGTAAATGACTATTTTCTGAATCTTTTGATCAACTATGGCTGTTGGGTATTATCCAAGTTCTATTGTGGTTTCTAGGCATGTTGAAACCTGTATGGATACAAAACTGAAAGCCTGGCCGGGCTGGGTACACTTTGGGCCTGTTTTAGACCCACTATAGTTATTTGTATCATTTGTTTTTTTTGTAATTTTATTCAGTATTGAGCACGTAATAATTCTGTAATTACAATTAGGGTATTAGTAAAAATTGAGAAAATGGGTCTATTCTAGTGTTTGAATGAAAATGGTAGAAATCCTGCCTATAGGATCTGAGTGTTTAATTTGTTCAACATACTTTGCTTCTATGTGTTTTGTTAGATAACATGCCTATAGGACATAAATAATCTCACATGTTCTCATGTTCCACTCTCACGTTATTATCTTCCTACTATACTACAACACAGTAATTATTTGTTCAAATTGCTTCATGTTAGATATCATGCCTATAGGATTACATTAAATAATAATTACCTTCTCTTTATAATATTCACATAGATGTCATGCCTATAGGACTGTAATCGAATTAGCTACTATTACCGACATTCCCATTAAATTGCTCGCCTAGAAAGAATGCCTATAGGAATGAAAGGATAAATAACTAGTTTCAATTGCCAATTCCTAGAAATTCTGCCTATAGGATCCTACTCCTCGCCTAAAAGCGTGTTGACAAAAACAAACGCTGGTAATTTTGAACTACCAACTGTCTCATTGCTTTACAGCGCAAACAATTTAGAAAGCATGCCTATAGGATTTGTAATACTCGTGATATGCAAAGCGACACAACCTGTACGTTTAAAATCCAGAATTACCTAGAAGCCATGACTATAGGATTTAAGACTCTATTAATTCTGAAATTGTCATCCGCCTAATTTGTTTGCGTGCATTTGTTGTCTAAGTATGGAGGCTAACTTGAGCCCTTAATTGCTTTTACATGAAGTCCAACTTGTTTTGTATGTAGCCTAGTTTTATCATTTCTAAGAAGCCTAAGCTAAGTCTAGAAACCATCCAAAATAGAGGTCTAAATGCCTCCTGGGCCATAGGCATGGGACAGGTAGTGCACACATAGGGCACGGTTTAGAATCAAGTAGTGCGCTTTAGGTAAAAACTTAAAGATAGTAATTGGATAGCAGGAGATGATAGTCTGTGCCCGCTGAATAATACGAGCAACACCCCACCTCGAGGGAGTTACGAAGTATTATTTATATTGCACGGGGTGATCCTTTAGGCTAAAAAACTTAGGACCCCCCATCTTGTCTTTAAACCAATTATCTATGTTTACTCAAGGACTTTCTAATAATGATTTTTTTCAAATTTCTTATTTTTTTTCTCTGACTATTTGACTAATTCATATAATTCAAGTTTGGTTGGGACCCACAGTTGTGGACCTCGAAGAGTGCCTAACACCTTCTCTTCGAGGTAATTTGAGCCCTTACCCGATCTTTGGTAACGCAAATTGGTTAAACCAGAGTTATTTGCAAATAGGTGCCCTAACGCATCTCAAACCCGTTAGGGCGACTCTCTCTTTTAACACATTCCTTTAAAAGAGTTGTCCTGTGTCAAAACCCGATTTTGTGAGAAAGAAGGGGCGCGACAGTACGTGGAGTAAGCATCGAGAAAACTCATTAATTCATGCCCAGTTGTCGCGTCAATCATTTGATCGATGTTTGGCAGTGGGAACGAATCTTTTGGGCAAACCTTATTCAAGTCCTTATAATCCACACATATGCGAAATTAAGTGTTCTTATTAGTAACTACCACTACATTAGCTAGCCAATATCAAGTAAGTGAGTCACCTCTTCTTTGACGAATTTATTCCTAGCCTCCGCAATTGGGCGTTTCTTTTATCTTACCGGAGGGACGTTTGGATCCAAGATTAGCTTGTGAACGGCCACTTCCATTGGGATACCTGTCATATCCGCATGCGACCATGCAAAACAATCGGCATTATACTTAAGAAATTCAATAAAGCCAGACCTGAGATTGGGGTGCAGTTCTGTCCCCAAGTGGAATTTCCTTTCTAGGAATTTTTCAAACAATGCAACTTGCTCAAGATCTTCCACTATTGATTTTGTTGCATATGTCTCTTCCGGCACCTGGAAGTATCTTGGCACCTGATAAGACTCTGATGCTTATTTCTCATGGTTAATTTCACTTGATTCGGGAGCAGGCACCGGTTCCTGTAATTGCTATGATGTATGCTCCTTCCCTTTGCTAATGGAAACTGAAGTCGCATTCATCTCCCTTGTCGATAGTTGATCGCCCCTTATCTGTTTGATTCCTTCTAGCATTGAGAATTTCAATAATTGATGATACGTTGACGGTACTTCTCTCATCTCATGCAACCAAGGTCTTCCAGAATAATAATATATCCCATATCACCATCTACTACTTCAAATATAGTCGTCTTCATCACTCATTCGGCATTCATGGGCAGCAAAATCTCTCATCGGTTTGTCACGCTCACAAGGTTGAACCCGGCAAGGAGCTTTGTGGCCGGAATAATGCTCCCGGTGAGTTTAGCTTGCTTCAATACCCTCCATTGTATGATACTGGTTGAGCTTCCAGGATCCACTAAAACACGTTTGATTTTGAGATGTAGAACATATAAATGAATTACCAATGCGTCGTTGTGTGGTAGCAACAATCTGTCTGCATCTTCCTCCGTGAAAGTGATGTCGTCATCGGCAACTTTTAGGAGTCTCTTGCTATGTGTTATTAATACCTTTGTCTTCTTTGCTGTCGAGAAAGTAACTCCATTGATCTCGTTCCCCTCAAAAATCATGCTAATTGTCTGGCGCATGGGATCTTCTCCTGCTTTCGAAGATTCCGCGTTATCCCAGTTGCGATCGTAGTTGTTCTTGGTACGGTCACTTAAGAATTCTCTCAGATGCCCGTTCTTTAATAGTGTCACCACCTCTTCCCGTAGATGTTGGTAGTCCCCAGTCCGGTGTCCATTCGTCCCGTGATACTCACACAATAAGTTGGGATCCCTCTAGCTGGGATCGGACCTCATCAGCTTGGGGAACCACATTTCTTTGATGTTTCTCATAGCTGATGCCAACTCTATTGTACTGACATTAAAATTGTATTATGATAGCTTGGGATAAGAGGAATCTCGCGTACATGACGATTCTTTATCCTGTAATGATCTATTGCTCGGACCGTGATCAGTTTTTCTGTCGGTAGTGAACCTATCCGCCTATCGGAAACCTCTATCGTGTCCTTCGACCCGTTCGTAGGGAAAAAAACTAGCTCCTTGAAGCCAACCAGCTCCCGACCATTTACCGATGCCGGGAAGCCAACCTGATCATCTTCAATCCTTATCTTAGATTCGTACCGGTTGTGATCATCCGCCCAAGTCGTCGCTTGGAATTCAAGCAGACTTTCCTTTAGTTTCCGGGAAGCATCTAAACTACTCGGATTCAAACCCTTGGTGAATGCTTCAGCCGCCCATTCATCTGAAACAGTCGGAAGCAACATCCTTTCCTTTTGGAACCGGGTAATGAACTCCCGCAACAAATCGGACTCTCCTTGCTCAATTCTGAATATGTCGGCCTTTCAGGCCTGCACCTTTCTGGTCCCGGATTGAGCCTTAATAAAGGAATCCGCAAGCATCTCAAAGGAATCTATAGAATGCTCGGGTAACAGCGAATACCACGTCAAGGTCCCCCTCATGAGAGTCTCTCCAAATTTCTTCAGCAAAACAGATTCAATCTCGTGAGGAGCTAAGTCATTCCCCTTCACCGCCGTTGTGTAGGAGGTAATATGCTCCTGAGGGTCAGAAGTTCCATCATACTTTGGCACGTCAGGCATTTTAAACTGCTTCAGGATTAATTCAGGTGTCGCACTTGGATTGTACGACAACTGAGTATACTTTTTTGAGTCCATACCTTTTAGAACCGATGGCACGTACGGGATTTGGTCCATGTGGGCGTTCACTTCTCTCATAAACCGTAAAAGTTCATTCTTGAAGGGATCAACTTCGTTATTGGGGCCGGATCTGCTCCCCCAGCTACATCGGAACTAGCCCTGTGACTCGGGGTGTTGTTGTCGACCCTCTGTGTTGTTTGATTTGCAGGAGCGCCAGAGGAACTAGACCTCGCCTATTCGTATTATTGGAAGCCCCTGACAACGCTTGTGTCAACTTCGTCATAACCTGATCCTCCCGTGTGAGGTGGCCTAGAATGATTGCTTGTTGCTATTGTAGGACCCTCACCGCATAAACAACATGCTCCTCTTCCACGTCATTGGGAGTCGCCTCCCGAACATGTCGTTGATACCGCCTATCGTGGATCGACGAGGCGTCATTTCCCTCATTGTGGGTGTCACTGATTGAATCCTCATGATGAGGCTGGTCTTCTTAAATCTCAGGATTATGCGTGTTGTTAACACCATTATCAGCCATCTTTTATGATTTTTTGCTAAGACAAATAATCAGAACACGTTAGTAAAAGAGACAAGGACCAACTTAATTACACAACTATCTAGGTCCCACGGTGGACGCCAAACTGTTTACCGTAAAATGATACAGTTGAATTTATACGTGGTTTCTAGATAAGTGAAGATCCTAAAATAATAAAATAATTGAAGAAAAATACAATACTTAGCCTTGGAATGAAGATAAGATAACAGAAACAGTGATTCCGGGAGCAAGGCTTTCAGGCACAACATTGATCAAATCAAGTAATAAGAATAAAAAAATATAGAGCTTTGGATTGATTATAGTATAATTTGCCAGAAAATTCGTCTCCTTTATAATAATGGAGGAGTACACAATTTATAGTTGCACCTAGGGAATAAGGTCCTAGGATCATGCCTCTCTTCAATGACAATTATGAGGCCATTGAAGAATGTGTAATGGAAGGCAATTAATGCCATATTCTCTATAACGGACCGTGCACTTAATGCTACGGAATATTCTTCATTGAATGCTACCGGGTGGCAGGCATTTATTTCGCCTTTATGAATATTGATCTCTCCGGTAACAAATGAGATCGTTGCCTACGGTTCTGACTGTTTTCTATATTCGGCTCCACGTGTCACTTTCTCACATAATCATTTAATATGAACATATTTTACCTTATACACACTCAAATTATTCCACCATAAGAGTCTTTGTGCATAAGTGCGCGTGCATGCATACACACACATATATATATAAGTAATTTGAAGAAATATGACATTATTATATTTTGTATAAAAAAAAAAGCAAGATTCACGTGAACCCATACGAAATTAAACAAGAGACTGCTGTTAAATTAAGGAGAAATAGTTTGAGAAATAAACATTTTTAGTAAGGATAATTTTATCCTGAAAAATTAACTTTTGCTTCTGCCGTCAAAAAGAATTTATAAATACCTTAAACATCCAAGATAAACATTTTTCTAGGTAAGTACTCTTAAATCCTAATTCTAATTTCTCACAAGCTTAACCAAATAGGTTAAAGGTATATTGAAAAAAAAAAATATTAATCTTTAAAGGCTTGGCCAAATGGACCGTTACAGTTCTGATGACTGCATTTGCCCTTTCCCCTTTGAATTAGATGGATATTAGCCTAAAATTCCTACCTCCTAGATTTCTCAATATTGCTTAATTGATTGTTAGAACTTTTATTTTGTTGGCAAGAATTTGATTTTCAGCTTTGTAAATCGTTCCTCCATTTCCCCTTTGTGATGACCCAAAGTGTCATCTTTTAATTTAATAAGTAATTATATGTTCTAAGACCTCGAAAAAGTATTATTTATCATTCCTACACTTGCGTGCGCAGTCCGTATAATTTTCCAAAAAATTTTTATGCGAAAAATGGATTAAAATGCGAAATAGAGCTTTAAAACTCAACTGAGTTGACGTTGGTCAACATTTTGAGCAAATAGACTCGGATCAGTGTTTTGACAATTTCGGTAGGTCCGTATCATGATTTAGAACTTGGGCGTATGCCCGGAATCGAATTCCGAGGTCCCTAACCCGAGATATAGAATTTTGATGAAAAATTAAAAGTTTAAAAGCTTAATGACTTTTAAGAATTTACTGATGTTGGATTTATTGACACCGAATCCGTATTTTGGTTCCGAAGTCCGGTGTAGGTACACTAAAATATTTATGACTTGTTTGCCGAATTTGGTGAGAAACGGAGTTGATTTGACGTGATTCGGACGTCCGGTTGTGAAAATATAAGTTTTGAAATTTTCTTGAAAATTTCATTCGATTTGGGGTTCAATTCGTACTTCTAGGCGTTATTTTGGAGATTTAATCGCGCGAAAAAGTTTGTATGATGTTTTAGAACTAGGGTGCATGTTTGATTTGGAACCCAGAGAGCTCGGATGAGTTTTAGATAGGCTACGGGATGATTTCGGACTTAGGAAATATGGTTTTCTGCAGACTTCAGGCTTCTGGTGTGTTCTTCTTCGCGTTCGTGAAGGTACTCTCGCGAACGCGAAGAGCAAATTGGGGCTGACACGTTTTGTGCTTCACGTTCGAGAAAGAGTGAACGCCTTCGCGATCGAAGCCTCGCGCTCGCGAAGGGAAGGAGGCTAACTAGGAAATTGCCTTCGCGTTCGCGAAGGCCAATCCAGGCAAGCTTCGCGTTCGCAAAGTAACCCTCCCGTTCGCGAAGAGTATAATTGGTCAGCAGAAATTTGTGTTTCACGAACGCGAGGCACTGACCGCGTTCGCGAAGGGTAAAAATCCCACAAACAGAACATAAGTTCTAGAAAATGGGATTCGTCCCATTTTCAACTCTTTTCCATTTTTGAGCTCGGGTAAGGAGAATTTTGGGCGATTTTTACGGGAAAATATTGGGATAAATATTCCTTATCCTATATTGATTATATTTCATGATTCCATACTCATTTATATTATGAATCCGTAAAATTATGGGAGAAAATTCATATTTTTATAAAATCTTCCAAAAACGAAAATTTAAGATTTGAAGGTCCATTTGACGTCGGAATTGGATAATTGTTGTATGGTTGAACTCGTAGCGGAACGGGTATTCGAATTTCGCGAGTTTTTTTCGGGATTTGAGACGTGAGTCCCCCTGTCGAATATTTAAATGAATTTCGGATTTTTATCCGGAAAATTAGTAAATTCATATGAAATTAATTCCTATGATTTGTATTGAGTATATCGAATTGTTTGTGAATAGATTTGACGCTTTTGGAGACAAATTCAAAAGAAAAATCTGTGGTCGAGTAATTGATTGAAATTGCAAGGTGAGGTAAGTATCGTGATTAACCTTGACTTGAGGGAATAGAACCCTTAAATTATTTGTTATGTGAAAAGCATGTGAACGACGTATAGGCGAGGTGACGAGTGTCTATACGTCGTCAAATTACTTTTTGCATAATTATTTGAAAATCCTAAATTGTTTTATTACACGAATTAATTATTATAAAAATTATTTCTCTCCTATTCTTTGTCAAACATTAGTTCTTGACTCCTGCAATAATTGCTACATGCCTATTTGATTTATGTGCATTAGTTGCTACTGCCTATTATATATTAAACTGCCTATTTTCTCCCTGATTTCTATAATAAATTGCTATTTGTCATTGTTTATTTCATAATTAAATCATAATTATTGTATACTTGTTGTCTTATAATTTTATATTAATTGTTGCATTTATTGGGGCAATTTCATCTATAAGAATTGGTAAATGAATATATTGGAGGAGCGGGTTGCACGCCGCAACAGAATTGATTGAAATGAATATATTGGGGGATCGGGGTGCACGCCGCAACAGACTTGATTAAAAGTCCATATTGGTGGATCGGGTTGCACGCCGCAACAGAATTGATTGAAATGAATATATTGGGGGATCGGGGTGCACGCCGCAACAGACTTGATTAAAAGTCCATATTGGTGGATCGGGTTGCACGCCGCAACGGACTTGCTTAAAAGTCGATATATATATATATTGATAGATCGGGTTGCACGCCGCAACAGGCTTGATTAAAATAAATATATTGGAGGAGCGGGTTGCACGCCGCAACAGGCTTGATTAAAATAAATATATTGGAGGAGCGGGTTGCACGCCGCAACAGAATTGAATATGCATATATTGTGAGAGCGGGTTGCACGCTGCAACGAAAATTTATTGAAATAATAATTGGATATGATGGTTGAGTTGACTTCAACTATAAGAATGAGTTACCGGATTTATTTCTATTATTGTGGTTATTACTATTATTGCGTACAGGTTAATGTAAGTGACCTGCCTTAGCCTCGTCACTACTTCATCGAGGTTAGGCTCGACACTTACCAGTACATGGGGTCGGTTGTACTGAAACTACACTCTGCACTTCTTGTGTAGATTTCGGAGTTGGTCCCAGCGGCGTACCATATACTTGCTCGGATTTCAGCTACCCAGAGGAGACTTGAGGTATAACTGCACAGCGTCCACAGTTCTAAAGTCCCCTTCTACTTACTTTACCTGTGTATTTATTTCAGACAGCTCTATTTTATTCAAGACCTTTATTTGTATTATTCTAGAAGCTCGTGCACTTGTGACTCCAATTCTGGGATGGTATTTAGACACCGTTATGTTATGGATTTTTTCACAATATTTTAGACTTTACTTCCGCATTTAATTCTTTGTTATTAATAAATTTAAAAATTATTTTAAAATGGATAATATTATTCTAACGTTGGCTTGCTTAGCAAGTGAAATGTTAGGCGCCATCACGGTCCAAAGGTAGGAATTTCGGGTCGTGACAGTTGGTATCAGAGCACTAGGTTACATAGGTCTCACGAGTCACGAGCAAGCATAGTAGAGTCTGAAGGATCGTTACAGAGATGTCTGTACTTATCTCTCAGAGGCTATGAAGTTTAGGAACAATATCGCTTCTTTCTTATTCTATCGTGCGATTTTATTCTATCATATATGATTGAACCATTCTACTCTTATTCTCTCGCAGATGGTGAGAAC